TATGTATAACTGGACGAAACTTGTTGTCGTACGGCAGTGAAGCATTGTCAATACTGACATTGCTGTCTTTTGATGATGATGAGGATGACAATGATAATGATGATGGTGATGATGATAATGATGATGATGATGATGGTGATGATGATGATGATGATGATGAGATGAATGATGATGTATACAAGGCATCTGTAGATGCTGTTATACTCTATGGTCGTGAGATCCGCTCCCTTCTTCGATCCGAGGACGGCATCCCTAGATGATGATGATGATGATGATGATGTATACAAGGCATCTGTAGATGCTGTTATACTCTATGGTCGTGAGATCCGCTCCCTTCTTCGATCCGAGGACCTTAGGCATCCCTACAAGTTTGCTCATCCGGTATCTCCGTAGAATAGCAAGAGTTAGCTGGCTGCAATGAGCCCTCAAGCAAATGGGGCGTAGGCGGATATCTGGTAACGTACCCAACTCAGTACATAAGCAGAGTAAACCTATGAATTTGATGCGGTTGGGGTGTCCCAAGTAACCCCGACTACCGTCTACCGGAGAAAGCGCTGTTTCCTGCTGAAGTGATTGTTTGCACAACATTTGCGGGGAATATGCCATGGAATTCCAACGTGAAAGGGAGGTACAATCAAACTGAGTACTGTGAGGTCTTCGCTCTTTCTTGGGGGGGGTGCGGGGCGAGATGGACCAAGTGGTTAGAGCACGAATTTACTGACCGGAAGGTCCGTGGTTCGCGACCGACCTCTGCCTCTCGAATTCCCCTTTCCAGGCTTGAGTGACCTGGCAGTATTGTAGCCCTCGTGCCTTCTTCGTAAGGCACGGCAGCTAAGCACCGAAAGGGTGTTACACCCGAACGTTTTTCGCTCCTTTTTTGCTGAGACCCACTTGATACTGCTTGCACGATTTGGCAACCAATTCGTGGCACGTATGCTGTCATTTCGTAGTCGGACGGTCCACATGAATTCATCCGTCACTGAGTACTGAGCTTACATTAATATGGGTTCACAAATGAAGCTGGAACAACTTCGCTGACTTCCCATAACTTCGGCATGATGCTCAGATGCGTTCCATTATAAATATCGCTGATGGTAACGCCAAATGAGGACAACAGTGCTTTACTGCCGTAGAGCACTGGCAATTTACTTGAATAAAGCTGTACAAAGGAAGGAAATAGGGAAGAGGAAGGGACCAAGGTTGTAGCACTTGTAAGCCGCTCTTTTTCATGCTCAGTGTCATCTTCTTTTTCCCCGTCATTATCAGTCACATCGCTGCACAAAAGTTTGTTTCACTGAAATACAACCGTTACCGCCCGCTTGTTGGCTCTAACGTGACTTTGAGACTTTTGCTGAGTGACTGTTGTTGTGACTGCCGGTTGGCTATATTTGACCGCTACTAACACTAAACGTGAACAAACATTTCAGCTACAAACACTGGACTAGTATATTCACACTTGTGGATTAATATTTCAATCACCGGAGATCTGGAATACCAGGAAGATAGGACTATTCTTGGTGTGGTGGTTCAACGGAATACGGAACTACGGAATCTCCTATTTTGAACTGTGAGTCAAGATTTACTTGGATTCCTTTTCCTTGTGACTTTGTACTTGGCGTACATTGGTAATTGTTCTGTCCACTAGAGACTCCATAGGGCCGTTAACCACTACAAGGTCCAGTGAAGTGACTAAAAAATCATTCAGCTGTAGCATCCTTTCGGTGCCTAGTTGCCATGCCATCTGGAAGAAGCACGAGGGGTGGGATACTGCCAGGTAACCCAAGCTTAGACAAGGGAAGTCGAAAGGCAGACGTGGAATTCAAATCACAGACCTTCCGGTCAATAAATTCGCGCTATAACCACTGAACTATCTCTCTCTGAAGTGACTATACCCCAACACTCGGTCAGACAATCCGGATAGGAAGTAACAACATGGATGCCACTGACATCCGCTGGCTGCCACGTAATTCATTGTCTCCAGTCAAGCAAAGAGAGGGGCATATGAATCCCCATCCTGGAAGGTGAAACAGAAACAACAGCACACAGTCATGCGGGTGAGGAAGAGTGATTGGGGGTCAAAGAAGCTATGCTCTCAGCTTCCAGATCCGTTTGCCCAAGCCATAAAAATCAGCTAAGTGAACACTGGATATCGCCGAGATCAGCAGATCTTATTGTTACCAGAAAGGCCATACCAACAACTAGCGACTGTGATGGCGCGCGCAGCTCCAGGAAAAGCCGGATAAACAGGAGCTTAAAGAATGACAGAGAACGCTGGTGAATTTCGACGGCCCCGGAGATGGAGAACCATTCCTCTGTAGGCAACAACCACAGTGTGTGAGAAAGAAGAAACAAAAATTCATCCACAAAATCTTCATCTTGAGCGATGGGATGGGCACTTCAAAGGGCAGTTCAGCTGGTTTCCTTCAACGAAACCGCTGGAAGAACCATGGGGGCTTGAAGGCGACATCGATATCAGCCAGGCATTAACAGGAATCCGGCATGTACTGTCAATTCTTCAACGCGACAAGGAGGCTGGACCGAATAGTCTGCACCACACACTTTTCAAAGAGGGTGGTGAGGTGCTGGTGAACAGTCTGACAATCATACGTCAGAAGAGTTGGAACGAAAAAAGAATACCGGTCGAATAGAGCCCCTCAGCCGTCATCCCAGTTCTCGAAAAGAGCGTAAGAACGTCATCCAAAAATCACCGTGGCATCAGCCCTGTATCCAGCGCACCTGAGTTGCTCTCTGGCATTATTTTGGATGGTCTGATGGATTATCGGGAAAGAAAGATTCGAGGGGATAGAGCTGGGTTCTTCCTGGCTAAGGATGCATCGACCATACTCTTTGCTCTGAGACAAGTTCTTGAGCAGCGCCACTCTTTTGAACGCCCCACGTTGGTCGTTTTTCTCGATCTGACGCTGCCAGTCGTCAGGACCTTTGGTGGTATCTTGAGATCAAGTGTGTCTCGTCTAAATTTATATACTTTATGAGGGCATTGTATGCGAAGTCCTGTAGGCGCACCGATTGATGGCCTCGGTCCTCGGGTATCAAACCGACTGACCACTTTTGATGGACTGGAGCCATAGTTCTTTTTAAAGACTGTTAACTCTGAAATTTTGGAATAATGATGTCAATAATCATCAAGTTACAGGACCTTTCGCAAGTGTAGCAACCATACCACCCGAAGGAAGTATGAGGAATGATATATATCATTCCTGGAAGGATATCCTGCCAGGTTGCCCGGCGCCAGATGCCAGAGTTTCCCTAGCAGCACAACTCGGCTATTAGTCGGTTATATGGCGGTTAAAGTCGGTTATTTGACGGTTATTTAACCGTGTAGCTATCATCCAATCAACATGAAGTGTTGTTGCCACACTTATTCACATAAGTTTTTCTTATGACACAAAGTGTTGGCATAAAACAAAAGTGCATTATTCCAATAGACTTTAAGAAACCCGTTCTGTCACTTTTTTGTTTATCTGCATCAGTATTTAAGTAAATGGCCGTAGCCACCAAGCCCATTCCCAGGATCGTCGCTGACCCACGCGCCTGCTGTCTCCACGTGTTTGTGAATTTCTATCTGGAGGAATGGTAAGTCATGACTGCTGATACACGTATGACAACTGTAGCCTTCCAAACGTGGTTTGCTCATTTCAAGGTGGACACTTAACCGCAAACTAAAGCGTGCTAGAGAGTTAGCCTTGGAACAACCACCCAATTCGATGAACGCACGCGACTTTCACCGTGCAGATCAGGAGATCGATTCACTAGCGCACAGTAAAAATGCCATTAGATGACTAATGTTCTAATTAGATGAACAACAAAATGAGGCGGATAATGAAGAGGAGAATCTGTTCCAGCCTAGTTTGGCGGACATTTTCCGAGACTGGATGATTTCGACCAATGTCCCCTTCAGTACCGTGAATCGCCTGCTTGTATCATTGCAGCATAAGCTTCCTGAACTGCCTCGAGACGCGCGGACACTGATGAGAACACCCCGGTCATGTCCAACTAGAGAAGTCCCCCCAGGAGAATACATCCACTTGGGCATTGCGAACGGGCTTCGCCGGGTTGTGCCGATGTACTTGCCACCCCAACCTCATATTATCCATTTACATATGAATGTAGATGGGATGAAGCTGCACAATAACGGTACAACCGTAATCTGGCCTATACTAGCACGTATTGTGCGGCCCTTCACTAGCCCGGTATTCCTTGTTGGGCTTTATGGAGGAGTTCGTAAACCCGAGGACGTTTGTACATACCTGCATGACGTAGTGCAGGAACTGGAAGATCTCCTGCGTCTGGGAGTTGTCGTTAATGACCTGCATCATCAGGTCGTGTTGGATGCAATTATTTGTGACAAACCGGCACGCTCCTTCGTCACACGAATGAGAGCACACAATTCCTACTATGGTTGTGATAAGTGCTGCATAAAGGGACAATACTTCCAAACGAAGATAACGTTTCCATATGGGCAGCATGTTCTGCGAACTGACAACAGTATACGTCGGGATACTCGAAACAGTCCGTCTCCATTCTTTACGTTACCCATTGATTTCGTTCACTGCTTTCCCATAGATTATATGCACGCCGTATGTCTCGGTGTTGTCCGTAGATTAGTTTCCATTTTCGTCAACGGTGATCGACCCGTACGCATCGGGCCTGCTGGCTTGAACAGGGTAGATCGGATGATTCGGAATATACGTGCCCATATGCCCGTGGAATTCCCGCGTAAGTGCCGGGAAATTACACTGTACAAACAGTGGAAAGCGACTGAGTTTCGTCAGCTGCTGTTTTACATTGGTCCCATTGTGTTTAAGGACATTCTTCCCCATGAACGTTATCAAAATTTCATAGATCTATTTATATCCGTGTATTTTCTTTCTCATCGTCGCTTTTCTGTTTCCCACATTGATTATGCACGATAATTATTGCTAGTATTTGTTAACAAGTTCCAAAAACTGTATGGCTTGCAGGAGATGGTGTACAATGTCCATTGTCTGCTGCATTTACCGGATGACGTCTCGTCTCACGGGCCTCTGGACAATTTTTCAGCATTCCCTTATGGGTCTTACATGTTCACACTTAAGCGCCTTGTACAAAGTCTCACGTATCCTGTTAGGCAGATTTATAAACGCCTGCAGGAGTCAGCATCGTATCTCACAAACACCCCAGATTACCATGCCGATTGCGATGCGGGCTTACCTTTGAAACAAGCATCACTGAACAAAAAGCGTTTCTTTAATCTCGGTAAAGTTGCCTTATCTGCCAGTCCACCGGACAACGTTGTTTTGGTAGATGGTTATCCGTGCATTGTGACAGAGGTGCAGCATCCCGACACGGCCGACTGCATAATTAAGTATGTTTCATTTCTTTCCCCCGTTTCACCACTTTTCACCCATCCCATTAATTCTCTTTTGCTAAGTATTTTTGTGTTGAACAAATTGTCCACAGTTGTAAATAGCTGTCCCCTCTCTTTTGTGCAATGCAAGTGCGCCATGCTTCCAGTCAAGGACTTATTTGTAGTTTTCCCATTATTGCACTCTATACCGTAATAATTTTATAATTTGATATGCCGTATCAGGCTTACAGTCTTGTGAAGTTCCATGAACAAGGCCTATGGCAGTGTGCAGTCCTCAGTTCTACATGGATTGAGGGTAACTGTGCTACATGGCCAAAAATTCACTCGAAGGACTTTTATAAGGCTGTTCGCCTTCATATACAGCCACCAGCTGGATCATTGAAGCTGAATTGCGAAGTCATTCGGACTTACGGTAGGTGTCATGTAGACCGCATTAACTTTTCAGACGATTTCAAAAAGGCCCGTGAACATGAGAGGAAGTTCCAGTACACGTCGGACCTGGAGACTTCGGATGTAACCATTGAGATGGGTCGTAACCATCCTCGTCGAAAGTAAGACTACCGTGCGTGTTGTCAAGATTTCTTTTAGGAATACCAGAGAACGAAGCCCCTCCCTCTCCATCAGTCCATCACCGAAAAAACCAAAGTTGATGGTGCCACAATCCCCGCCTTACTCCAGCTTCTCGCAGGCGACACCCCGTGCCTTGTTCCACTCAACTCCAGAGCCCATACCCCAGCATCCCGCACCCGTCCCGTCCACATCCAACCAGCCTGTATATACGATGCCGCAGACGGTGCACCATCTGCCACAGTACGTTTTAAACACCGCGCCGGAGATCCCTATGTTTCCAGTTTTATCCCCACCATCTGCCCCTTTATTCCAAACCCCAGGAATCGCAGCACTGCTTCAGCAGAACGAACAGCTGCATCGGAAAATGGACGCAATGGCGGAAGATCTTCGATACCCGGAGATCCGCATTGACAACTCTTTGTTACAAGTCCATAGTTCTTCTGGAACTACCGGCTTTACTTTTCCCCTCCGGAGCAAACGTTCGTGGGACCAACTGGAAAGTGAGCTGGCAGAGGGACCACGCCAGATTGAACTGGTAATTCAGTGTTGTTGATCTCATTTTTTGGCCACAGATGAAATACTTCCGATCTTTTAGTGCAGCCACCATGGCGGACCTAGTGCGCCTGTGTCTCCGACAGGCGTTGGCTGACGAATTCGCCGTCAGTATCGCCTACGCCGGGTCTGTTGACAAACTTCCCTTCCGCCACACAAGACTCTGCACCCTAATCGAAGGTAGGTGATCAAAGATAGCTTGCTCACTGTCGTTTCAGAAACAGTTCTCGGTAACCCAGTTTCCAAAGACTGTTGCCGACAGGATTTGGATAAAGAAATCCAAAAGTGGTTCGGTAACGCACGTCACCGACTGGCCCAGAGAACGCGCATGGATCAGTTGGCAGTAAGTTTCGACTTTGCACTGGGACAAGTTTATCAGTAGTAACCGATACATCGAATGCTTATACATATGTTTTGTCACTGTTTCAGACGTCCGTATTGAACCAAGAAGCTGGGATCATCGAATTGGACGTGCCTCCGAACTGACTCGGTTTGGTTGTGAAACAGTTATTTTCGTATATCAAATATATTTTTATCCTTGTTTTGCGTTCTCTAAGATCCCGTTACTAGGTTTATTTTCTGCAATGGATACGACGATATGCACGCGTGTGGTTACCAGTGTAGGTCAGTCACGTTGCGTTTGTTAACCGCAAACCGTTTTGCGCGATTACTTAACCGTTGAACTCGATTAATAAGTGGTCAAGAAGCCATCAGATAGTCCCTCTAGGAAGGAATACGCTACGGCACCGTTATTTAGCTTCTCCGTGGCCCTACAATGCGGTTAATGCGTGGCTACGTATACTATGTTAAGCCGTTATGACGACGTAGGATAGGTTCAGTAACAGCGACTAACGGTAGTATGGTGGTGATTTCACTAACGAGGGTCATTTAATCGTCCAATCACCAGTAAACCCGGTTATTTAACCGTTAAACGACAGAAAAACATGGTTTTTTGACGGTTATTTAACCAAGCAAGAGCCGGCAATCACGGTTATTTAACCAAGTAATAGCCGGCAAACACGGTTATTTGACGGTTATTTAACCGAGCAATAACCAGCAAACACGGTTATTTGACAGTTATTTAACCGAGCAATAACCAGAAAACTCGGTTAGTTGACGATTAGCTTGGTGCAAATAACCATCTGTTAACCATAAAAGTCGGTTATTAGACGGTTATATAACCGGAAAACTCGGTTATTTTGGACTGCGTGTGCTGCTAGGGTTGGTTCGAAGGACGGACATTCCGGTCAGTAAGCCCAAGTCATAACCTATATATAGCTCATGGAACCGATCCATATCGCACGTTCCATGGCTACCTAGTGAAGTATGAGCATCGAGCCTAGCTCCATAGGGGTTGGGTGACCAGAAGTTGTGGGACTTTGGCGCTACAGCGTCGGACTCAACGTTTGCGGATGATCGACAGAAGGATTTCTATGAAGGTCCCTGTACAACCAACCCAAGGCAACAGGGAAAGGTAAATGGACGAAAAATTCCCGACGTGAGGATTATACTCGGGCGCAAAATGAATCCAGACCAGACGACGGGTGAAAAACGGAGCCGCTGTGATTCTACGGCGAGCACCGCCGCTCGTCGGCGATTGGCTGCTTGGGCGACCAATCAATAAATGGCTTTGCTGATCCCAAGACTGGCCACCGTGATTTTGACGGAGTTGGTTATTTTAAAGTATCTGGCTTCTTTGTTTGTTCGCCTTTTGACCTGTTGACCCGGGACTGTGACCGAGTTGAAAGGGTTCCGTCTGTAGCATTACTGGGTCAGTCCAGCACCTCGGCTGCAGTGTTGAGCCTGTTGGGAGCGCTACCGATGAAGCAGTAGCTAATCCGGCTAGTCTTATCTGGTGAAAAATTCAAAACAATGATTTGGGACCTACTGATTTTTATGCTGCCATCAGGATTGGCAATGGTTATGCCCTGAGCAGTTAACTTGAAGTCTCAATATTGATGACCAGATACAGGTATCATAATTCACCTGACGGATTCATCTTAGATCTATTTCAACGCTCTTTGTTTCGAAACGAGCACGATAAACGCTTATAAGTGCACGGTTCCCATGTCAGAACTTTGATTCACTTTCTGTCATTGATCGAATGCATGCAAATATCGACGGGCTGGCAAATTGCGCACGTCGAAAACCTCCTGTACATCAGCTGGAAAGTGACTGCCAAAAGGGTGCAGATTTGAATTGTCGGGAGTATTTGGGCAGATAGAGTTTGATGTTGCATACAGCTTGATTAGAACCATGGAAAGAATAACTAAATTTGTGAGCAGGACAAAGGAAAAATGCCAAGGCTTTTCAGTGACCTATATTTTGGACAGCTTCAGCGTGTTGTGACAGTATTTTATGCACAGGTAACACTTTTGGCTGAGAAGTAGAAAAAATAGCGCAGCACACATAGGCCGGCACACTGAGTATGGCCGGTGCGCTTCCGTAAACGGAGACGCGTTTTGGTTCATGAAGTTCAGCGGTCATGTGCCCATTGATTGTTGACTATATTCTGGGGATCCAGGCATATATGAAGCGATTATCTTGTGTCCGGTTAGGGTGTGGAATAGGCAGTGTTTACCCCGTTCAAAACGGAAAATCTGGCACCCACGGATATATTGAGGTCATACATTAGTATACACTGTATAGTAACCTTTGAAATTACCGCAACAACTATGAAGGCATCATGGATATCTTAAAATTTATACGTCATATCCCTTACAAGACCAGCTGCACACATTAAAATGTAGTTGTTCCCAAGGCAGCCTCTGTAAAAGACACCTCAAAGGCTCTTCACACGAACGTCTGTGCAGAGCGCTCTTTTAATGTGGTTATTTGAGCTCATGCTTGGACACCAGTTTCTCACTCGGCGTCCACTCTTGATGAAGCCAAGATATCCTGTTTGGTCATGGTTCTATCCATGCAGGTTTTACGTGAGAGTCAACATGGATAGCTTGTTTAAGAAGGCCTCTTATCTTCGATTTATTGCTACGAATGAAAGTTTACGGTTGAAAAATACAAGAGTATTTTAACAGTTGATGTAATGTCTGCAATCGCTGGAATCCATTCGAAGGTAGTTAGGGGACTTCAACTTCTGACACTACGCTGCACGTATGAAAAAAATTCATACCCAACTGATCCTTGTAAAGCCCTTTAAAATTTATTTACGCGAGACCTAACAAACCGACAGAATGCAAGGATGCGTCGAGTTTAAGAACAATCCAAAAGGTTTTTAAAAGGAAAATCGTGACGAGCGGTTGATAAAAGCATTTTTGAAAAGTGGCACTCTTAAACTAAGGGTCATTCCTTAACCGTTGGCTCCATGCAGTTTGTACTGGAGGCTTTTTAATCAAAGACCACTGTCTTACCATTACGCAGACAGTATGCCAAAGTTTTCCCCCACATCGCTCTTGCGTGACAAACATGCTCGTGTTTATGGACAGCTTATTTCAAGCCAGGGACGAAGGACTCATATCGGATGCCATATTTTTCGAATTCTCAAAAGCATTTGATAGGGTCCCACACGTCCCACTGCTCCACAAACTCGAGTCTTCCGGGATTCAAAAAAATCCTTCGCTGGATCAAAGCTTTCCTATCAGATCATCCGAGTGAGAAAAGGCTCGACGTACTTTTCCGTAGCGCCGGTCTCCATTGGAGTTCCTCAAGGCTCCGTCTTGGGACCACTCCTGTTTCTGATCTACGTCAACGACCTTCCAGATGTTCTTGCGAGTTCATGTCTACTTTTCGCGGGCGACTTGAAATCCTGTAGTTCCAATGCTGGTGCCCTCCAAATGGATGTAGACGCTGCCAAGCAGTGGTCGTTGGACTGGCACCTTCCTCTGAATGATGAAAAGTGCGTCCATGTGTCGTTTGGAGGGGATTCAGCGAATGCCTTTGTTATGCATG